AAGAATGAGTTCCAGTTTTGATGATGTCCGGCATAAGATGGACGAAAGCTCAACCAGTTTTCGCCCGAAAAGATGGAGGATGTCTCATTGACTGCATCAAACAGAACGTCGTATTAAGGCCAAACGGCAACCGTACAACGGCAACAGCCGTCTTCTTCTAGTGAGATTGACCTTCGAATCTCTTTTTCATGCACTTTCCTGCAAACTAAAAGTCTATCCAGCAAATATCTTATATTTTTTCGTTTTGAACAGGTTTTCGAGGCTGCCAGTAAATCAGAAATATGAGATGTGTTAACCCCATTTCATGTAAGGTGATGAAGGACTAGTAGTTAAATTGTCCCACAATGATATGAGTTGACATGACGTTTTCATTGCATTTCACACTACTTTGCCCTCCCAAAAGCTATTCTCATCCAAGATGGACTGCAGTTTTAACTTCGCATAAGCCCTATCAACAGTCCCATCAGGACTCAAACCCTGCATATAATATGGAAAAATGCCTTTCCTTTTCTTAAATTCACACCTGCCATATGACCAAAACAGGGGTGTTGATAAGGCCTAGGCGAGGTCGAAACTGCGGTCCACCATGGATGGGAACACCGTATGGGAAAGCAAGGCGATGTGAAATTCAATGGAAACGTCAGCTCTACTCATTTCATTGTGGGAAAAATCAACTGCCAGTCCTTCATCACCTTAAATGGAATAGGATGAACACATTTCATAAATTTATTTTAGTATGGATATCGATGGCCCCTCTAATCTTAAGTTTCTTTGTATCTTCACCATGATGGTCCCTCATTGCTGCTGCCTTCCAATTGTTATCCTGTCTAGTCTATGCAATATGTTCCTCTATTTCTGCTCTTTAAGTATCCCCTTTCCAGCTTCTATTCACTAGTCCTAATGCCAACTTCTTGTGATGGTTGTAATTATCGGTTCCCGTGACCACCAGGTCCCCAAAGATGTATTAGTTGGGCCATCTACACTGAGTGATTATGCCGACTACGATATCGGAGAAACGTATGGGAATGTACCAAG